AGGTATATAGCAAGTCTCTAACTAACATGTCTCTAAGTAGGTAACTATTTAATGTAAGCTCAACAGTTGTAGGCGACTATTCAAAAAAAAAATTTTTAACTTATATTTAGGTATAAATTATTCTTTTAGATAAAAATATAAACAAATATCTATCCTAAAAAATGAAGTTTTAAAAAGACCTCTTTTTCTAACAACTATAAGTTTACGTCTTATCTTTATATTGCAGTTTATAATGTTTTTTAATAGATTTAGTAGAGTTCCTAAATTGAACTTTTGGTTTGGTTGGGTTAGGCTTTTTAATTTTGTGTTTTGCATATGCGAATTTTTTCTACTATATGATTATACCTATTACTTTATGTGATAGTAATTATTTCAATAATTAATTTAGATGATATATATTAGGTTCTGAGTGATGAATGTGTTGATTTTATAATGCGTGTGCACATTTTTATCTTACCCACTGTATTATATGTATATATATCTTTTTATTAAGCTTTGTTATTTACTGTTAAATTTTATTAAACCTATGTGACTATAACTTATTGGTGTTGAGTTTCTATAATTAAAACATTACATATYTAGTTGAAATTAATAAATTTTTTCTATGACTTTTTTTTTAAAGAAATATCGTTTATTTTCTATATTGTTAGTAGTCGTTCTTTAAAACTAAATTCGAACTTTAAATGCTTATAATCATAATTCTAATTATTATAATAATTTATTATAACTTATTATAATTATTTAATTTTACTAGCACAAAATTGCTATGCCAATAGTCCAAAATGTTGATAGCGAACATTTTAACGAATAAATATTTTTTCTTAGTAATTACTAATTACTAGTTAGTATTATTGTATCAAAAATCAAAATCGATTATAAATATAATTTAAAACAAAAAATAATAATAATTAGGGACAAATATGCATAAAAAATATGTAATTTATAKGTATAGAATATACTTTAAACCCTGAGACATGAGTTTGAAATAAATAATGATAGGTCGCCTGTGTAATAATTTGTATAAAAATTATAAAATTATTTTATCGAGTTTATAATTAAAAGAAAAATTAATAAAAATCGAAAAACCGGGATATTTACTTACTTTATTTCTTGATTATTTTGATTTTTCATTTTGCAGATTAAGTAATGCTTTTCAGCTACGGAAAGGACATCAAACTTCTCCAAAAGATAGTATTCTCGCCTTGTTTTTTTATTTCTAAATGTTTATGATTATTGATTAATTTAAATTATAGTTATTATCTAATAAGTGGAAAAATATTGTTTCGAATTTTTACAAACCTGTTAGTTTTAGCATGGATTATGTCTTGAATTATTGTTTCAACTTCATTCATTGAATTACCTGATTTATCAGTGTAAAAAATGTCAGCTTTTTAAAAAATTCAACTTTTCATCGAATATTTTAATTTTAATTTAATAATATCTTTTACTACTTATTGCAATAAATACGTTTCACGAGTATTTAAATGAGACTGTACACTTCAGTAAAATGTTAACGATTCGATTTAGTGACACCGATCACAGATAAGTAATTATTACTATTGGCTAATATCTATATGAGTGTGGCTTTGGTTACTGCACTGCCGTAATTTCCCCCTATCAACAATGACGATAGGCCACAACAGGGAAAAAGGTTATCTTGGCGTAATAAAACTACGAGGCAAGAATGAATGTTTATAAGTTAAGTTCATTATACAAAGAAAGTTATACACGTGGTTTGATACATAGCACAATATATATTAATTGGGACGCGGACATGCGCAAGCGTGCAACGGCGTAGACGCAGGAACAGAGACTGGTGGCGGTCGGCAAACGACCACTGTTGAGGTGGGCCACGACGACCGCGGGGATCACCGTGATACGCGTGGTGGGGATCGCCACACTACCTCCCCAATGGTAGAGAGAAACGAACTCGTTTCTGCTTTCGCTGACGTTGATTGGAGACGGGGCCGGAAGTGTTGGTCTGCTCAACTGGAGCTGAAGCGTACTAATGGTCGGCGACTGGATCTTCGCGAAGGAAGAGTGCAGGCTTCAGCCGATCAATTGAGATCCAGCTTGTGCGATTGTGGAGTTGTAGCTTAAAGTTTTTGTCGTTGCGTTCTATTGCGGCGAAGGGCCCGTCGTAACGCGGCTGGAGAGGCTTTCGCGTGGCGTCGACGCGAAGGAAAACGTGCGACGTGTCTGACATATTTTCGGGCACGAAAATGGTACGATTGGAATGATCTGTGCCGGGAGTTGGGCGGAGTAACGACATTGAATCCTTGAGCGTGCGTACCATGTCCGGGACTCGAGGCTCAGGCTGGACGGCATGGAAGAACTCACCGGGTAGGCGCAAGGTCGTACCGTAAACCATTTCTGCCGGCGAAAAACCCAGGTCCGGCTTGACAATGCTGCCAAGTGCCAATAACACGGTTGGTAATGTCTTGGTCCACTGCGAGTTATTTTGAGCGGTAAGAGCGGCCTTAAGCGGTCGATGTAGACGCTCGACTAAGCCGTTGGCCTGAGGGTGATAAGGCTAGGTGCGAATGTGTCGAAACCCGTACGTTTGACTGAGTGCGGAAAATAGTTCGAACTCAAATTGCCTGCCTTGGTCCGTCGTGACTAAGTCCTGAACTCCAAAACGCGCGATCCATTGTGTAACCAATTTGTCGGCGACGGCGTGTGACGTCATGCTGGTGAGCGGATACGCCTCGGGCCAACGCGTAAACCTGTCGGTGACTGTAAGAAGGTGCTCGTTACCTTCGGACATGGGTAACGGCCCGACCTGGTCAACGTGAATGTGCCCGAAACGCCGGTCGGGTGGCGCGAAAGGTGACAATGGTGAACTTACGTGCCGGTTTACTTTGACACKTTGACAAGCAACGCAGTGACTTGACCACTTTCGAATTTGCCGATCCATATCAGGCCAACAATGCCTTTCCTTGACGAGAGCGAAAGTGGCTCTGGTGCCGGGATGCGCCTGTCCGTGTAAAATGTCGAACCGCGTCGACGAAGCGTTGCGGGAACGTAAGTGCGCGATCTACCGGGTACTGACGTGTCGAGGAATACGGGGCCCGAAGCTGTGTCGTGCGCTACGAGTTTTAGAGAAGTGGCTAACGTACCGTCCGGAATTTGTTGAAGCTGCGGATCTTCGGCTTGATCCTTTGACAATGTATTGCAATCCGGGAGCTGCGCGTGTAGCGTGACGGTTTCAARTCGTGAGAGCGCGTCCGGGGTGACGTTCTTGTCCCCGTGGATATGTTCAATTTGTTGGATGAATTGTGCGATGAAACTGATGTGCCGCACTTGTCTGTTGCTGTATTTGTCTGTCTTCACGGAAAACATGTGCGTTAGTGGCTTGTGATCGGTAAGAAGTACAATGTGTCGGCCCTCGATGAGGTGAAGAAAATGACGTGTAGCTAAATAGGCGGCGAGCAATTCCCGGTCGAAGGTGCTGTAACGGGCTTGAGCGGACGTGAGCTTCCTGGAGAAAAAACCAAGTGGTCTCCAGGTGTCATCGATGAACTGCTTGAGAACCGCGCCTATGGCTGCATTCGATGCGTCTGTGCACAATCGGAGTTCGGCATCCGTACTCGGGTGACAAAGGAATAACGTATCTGCGAGAGCGTTGCGGGACTTATCGAAAGCTAGTCGCGCTTCTGGTGACCAACACAATTGGCCGTCCTTCTGCTTTGACCGACGAAGCGAGCTCGAATAACGGAGACTGCAGTTGTGCCGCGTTTGGTATAAACCTGTGGAAGTAATTGACAGAACCAAGGAAACGTTGCAGTGCTTTTTTAGAAACCGGAAGCGGCCAGTTTCGTATCTGATCGATTCCCTGGGGTAGCGGGCTACAACCATCGCCGTTGAYGACATGTCCGAGAAAAACTAGCTGTGGTACGCCTAGTACGCATTTGTTGACGTTGATTGCGACGCCGAACTTTTGAAAACGCTCAAGCATAGATCGCAAGTGCATTTCGTGTTCGGACTCGGACTGTGACGCRATTAAAACATCGTCCATGTATGCGAACACGAAATCTAAACCGCGGAGAATGTCGTTTACAAAACGCTGGAAGGTATGAGCGGCGTTCTTTAACCCGAAGCATATCACCGGAAATTCATACAACACGAAAGGTGTTGTTACGGCGGTTTTAGCGACGTCGTCGCGTGCGACGGGAATCTGATGGTACGCGCGCACCAGATCAAGTTTCGAAAAAATAGTTTTACCGTGAAGATTGGTGGTGAAGTCATGAATGTGTGGTAAAGGGTACCGGTCCGCCTTGGTGATTGCATTCAACCTTCGGTAGTCACCACAAGGACGAAACGATCCATCTTTCTTGCTGACAAGTAGCAAAGGGCTGGCCCACGCGCTGTCCGATGGACGGGGCAAATACCTGTGCGAAGCATAAAATCGAACTCCTTCCGAGCTGCACCTAGACGGTCGGGTGCGAGGCGACGTGGTCGCGAAAATAAAGGGGGTCCGGTGGTCGAAAGAACATGTTCGACGTTGTGTGTGAAAACGGTTGGTACGCGAAATTCCCGCGTGGCCTTAGGAAAATCTGCGATCAAGTTGTTTCATAAACGTGGCTGGGAGACCACGCAAATGGTCGGCGGAACTGTATTCGTGGTAGCGATTTTGGATGCCAAAMCCGAGTTCAAATCGACTAACCTGTTACGGCGAACGTCGACTAACAGACCGTAATAATGTAAGAAATCTGCCCCGATAATTCCTCGGGTAACATCAGCGATTTCAAAAGTCCACGTAAACGGCCGAGTGAGCCCTAAATCGAGATTGAGCGTTTTTTGTCCGTAGGTTTGAATGCGAGTGCCGTTAGCAGYGGTGAGTGTGATGTCGGACGTAGGGTGTTGACCGGTGGACGGCGGGAGGACGGAGATGTCGGCTCCCGAGTCGATAAGGAAACGTCAACCGGAACGCATATCGGAAACGAAAACACCGTGGTTGCGTAGTGCGGCGGTGGGCTGACTCGCCTCCGCCGCGCCTATTAGTTTTCCGGAGACTTGAAAGTGCAAGGCGCTATGCATTTATGAGCGGACGCACCGAAACGATCGTGATAAAAACACATGCCGTTGTTTTTGTTATTGTTAGATCGTGATTTGGAGCGCGATTTCGCGCGGCTGTAATTAGAATTGTTAGCCTGCAGTGTGGCCAAATTAGCGACTTGTGCCGTGAGTGCTGCTATCGCGTTCTCGATTGAGCGGAATCGGTCGGTTGATGATTCGGAAATGTTCACCGCGTGAACATCGTAAGTGGACGTCGCCTCCATGACTCGATCAGCGCGTGCTGCGAGTTCCTCTAAAGACTCATCTTGTCCGGAGATGATCGCGGCGGTTGTTGATGGCAATTTCTGCAGCCAAAATTGCTTAAGGGCGTCCTCGCTGATACTGTCCGGAAGAATGTAGCGCATGTCGCGCAACAATTGTGATGGGCGTCTATCGCCTAAACCGCCTGGCTGGACGATGCTGCGGAAGCGCGTAGTTTGGGGTATCGCTGTTTTAGGTTCTCGTAACATCAATGTGGATATAAAAACATCAAGGGAGCTCATCAAAACGAAATTGTCGACATTAATGGAGTATGACAGTAATAGTAGCGATGGACATTTAAATTCGTATATGTCTTACTTAAACATTGATAAAAAAATATGTAAAACAGCAACTACTTAATTTAGAAATGGGCAATTTCAAATATTTACCTATTTCAACATTGTTACCGATGAAAAATAATATGGCAACGGTACATTTCTTGACAGAAATAATATCGTTGATATCGCAGGACTCTTTATAACGTTAGGGTCGGATATTTACGATCATTCGAGTACATTTGTAGGGGAGACGAAGAGTTTGTTGTTCATGGAGTGCCGATTTGTTGGAATAAAGTAATACAGTCAAAAGGTGATGGATTAGAAATTAACCCACAAAATTTTGTTTTATATTTACGAATGTTACATTTCAATGAGCGCGAAACTTTAAAAAAATTTGAAATTGATGTATTCACTAGCGATCTCTTAGATGTAAATAATACAACGGTATTTAAGACACTAGTAGAATACTGTATAAGATGGAAGTTTACTGAAAGAGACATGATCATAGTTCTCTATGAATGCGTAATGTTTAAAAGAATGATAATAGCTTTGCGAAATCATAAAACTATAATTAACTTAATAGAGTTCAAATTTAATTGTATTAGAAACATATAAAAAAGTCTAATCAATGTTTAAATATTTAATAATCGGTACCTATGTCCTATCTGCACATTTCTACTACCTTAACTACCTATTACCTTATTCAAATTTGATGTTTGTTAAAAAATAAGATTTAGATTGGTAAATACTACTGAAGTTGAAATTAAATTTTTCCTTCTACATGATGTTTCATTATTTAAACAATATTCTTAGTTTCAATATGAAATAAATGTATTAATATGGTTATTGATTATGATTATTTATTAGTTTTTAATTGGTAGGTATGTTACTTTGTCAACTTTGTTAGTTTCCTTGGCTTTTTAGAAAAAAAATTTTTACAATGAAAATTAAAATTCAATTAACTATAATTATGATTGATGAAGAAGGTTTTTTAGGTTTTAATGTATATGGAAATACATTTCTTATCCCTTTTCTTTTCTTAAATAATATTCTTACCTTCAATATAAAATAAATGTATTTATATGGTTATTGGTTATGATTATTAATTAATTTTTAGTTGGTAGGTATGTTAGTTTGCCAACTTTGTTAGTTTGCTTGCCTTAATAGAAAAAAAATTCTTACTATGAAAATTAAAATTCAATTAACTATGATTATGATTAATGAAGAAGGTTTTTAATTTATAAGAGAAATACATTTCTTATTTAACGTTTTATTGCAATAATGTACTATGTAGTACAGTAGTCCCATTTTATAATTGTATAAGATCATTAACTTTTAAGTATTAATAATATTTTCAGGCTCCAGCACTACAGGGTTTATAAGTTTCAAATCATTTTTGACTTACCTACAGCCCGTCCCGTCTAAAATTTGGAATATATTTCAGCATCTGTGATGTTGGAATCTTATCCCGTTTCTCTAATAATGAATATTTTATGTTACTTTTTTTACTTAAAGATAGGGTAAAAGCTACTTTCATTTTTTATGTATGGTTTATAAGTTTCAAATCATTTTTAACTTACCTACAGCCCGTCCCGTCTAAAATTTCGAATATATTTCAGCATCTGTGACGTTGGAATACTGTCCTGTTTCTCTAATAATGAATATTTTATGCTATTTTTTTTACCAAAACATAGGGTATAATCTACTTTAATTTTTGGTATACGGTTATAAATTCAGGCACGGACTGATAAAAAAGGGCAAGGAATGCTGTATAATTTAAAAGCCAAATAACAATTTAATGTACCTACGTTTTAAATTAATTTATTTAATAATATTACAGTATTATACTATTATGTTATAATAATATAATATATTGAGTAAGTTATGAGTACTCGGATAACAATATTTTAGCCCGGTTTCTGCGGGCCATACTGTTTTTCATATCACCGTTTAAAATGGAATCGGTTCCGCCCCGTCCCGGGTTTTAGTAATACCCATTAAAAGTTATACGAGTACAGAGTACATCTTAATAACAATAATTGTATCAGCTAAAGCCAATGAATAATGACTGAAAAAATTATTAGAACTTCGAAGATTGAAGACTAAAATAAATTATCGTACTCTTTAAATTAAAGAAATCTCAGAGTTTTATTAATTTAATCTCATTTTCAATTATGACAAGTAAATTTTAAATTTCTGCCTTCATACCGGGGCCAATAAAATAATTGGTTTGCTTTTTTTAGTTTTATTGTCATTCCAAGATGCAGCTTTTTATAACATTTTCTCATTATTTTAGGTACAATTAATCGCATTTCCCAATATAATCTTATTTTCAAGTAAAATCTCATTTTTTAATTTAAAAAAATATTTTAATTGTTCTTTAGCTGTACATTTTTTTAGACCAACCACTTTATAAATAACTACAAACTTGATTTAATACCTTATCATTCGAAGTAGCCACCCTGAAATCATTTTCTATTTTATTCTCAAATTTAATTTCAAATTCACTCAATGTATGTACAATATCTTGCATTATCATATAACTTTTTTCTTCTCTTTTAATGTAGTTACGGCTAAGGAAATCTGCAACATGCATGTAGGTAGGTACTTTACATAAATAAACCATAGTTTGATAGATTCATTTAGAAAACCGTGCGAAAAAAACAACACGAAGAGCTCAAGATAAGATATTAGATGAAATTAAAAAAGGACGAGAGGAGCGATTGGTGGCGTTAAGAGAAATGAAACAACAAAAATCTATTGATCCAATTCAAACTTTTTTTTAAAGTATTTAACGGTCACGGTCAACGGTTTCAACATTTCCTCCAGAATCAGTTGTGGAAGCCAAAATGAGGATATTTAACATTGTTTCCGAAATGGAATTACGCTTATTAAAAACAAAGGCTACCACGAGTACACCACCTCACCTGTAGAAACAATGACATCAACATCAACATTTTCATCGAATCTGCAATTTCCCACAATACTTGCCGATGAATCTTATCGTGTTCCACTACGATGTCGTTGGGGACGAGGTGGCCGAGCGGTCTAACGCGTCGGCTGTGGCTCAGTCAGACCGGGTTCGATCCTCGACCATCGGGCGGCATTTGTCTCCGGGCAAGTCACGGTGTCCGGAGAACATGTGCCACCATCCCCCACTTCGGGGCATGGTAGAAACTTACGGATGCCCCAATAGAAATTATTTTTTGATATTTTATAGTTTGAAAATTACCAGATTGGTACGAAGTTAGTATATATATTTTATTTTATTAAAATGAAATCTCCATATAACATTGTTGTAAATTTAAATATTTATTATTTTTTGTTCCTTTATTTTAATTACTATTAACTCTCAGTGGTGAGGACTTAGGTTAGATATATTCCAAGTTCTAAATAGATAATATGTATGTATTTTTAAATGAATCATTCTATCAATATCAGTAAGAATAATATAATTGAAATGGAAAATTACCTAAATATTTATTGTCCCTTTCTTATTTTGATAAATATACCTACGAGATAGTGCAATAATTTTACTTACCTAAGAGTGACGCTAAGTTTCTCTTCCGGTGATATTGGTTTCTTAATCCGATTACTTRGACGCCTTCTTATATCTTCTTTAATAACATTTAGTATATAATTAAATAATTCAAATGACACTCTAAAATATGCCCTGAATCTAGTTTCATTGTCAATTAGGCGCCTTTGAATTAAAGTACTGAAACAACTCCCTGCTCCGTTGACCAAACATTTCATCATTTTCATTACGGAAATGATTCGCAAGTAGTAATAGTTCTTCATCTGCTTCATCCTCCAAAATATTATAAAGCATAACCACGTCCATTTTGATGTAATACTAAACATCAACTGATGACAATTTTCTAAACTCCAAATCACGCAGTCGTAAACACGCATCGTAGCAAAACACTTCCATCACACATCACGCATATTTAAATGACAATTTTTGTTTTTAATTATGTTAAAAAATAGTTTTTATTTTAAACGTAAAAATGATAAATTTCTGTCGCCCAGTATTTTTATTAAAAAAAKGTCGGACACCCTTATTTCAAAAAATTACTTTTCAGTTACGGCCTTGTATATGTCTATGTTTCGGTACCACCTGAAATATACCCAACCAAATAACTGAATTTATCATCAAATCACATATGAAACATCAAAATGTGGATTGGTCCCCAATAATATTAATGATKTAGAAACAATTCGATATAGAAATTCGTTTTAATTTCATTTTCTATCCATGATTAAATTTTCAAAATATTTTAACTTTCTTTGAGCAATTATTGGCGTGAAAAATTGTCCATTAATTTTTTTCCTATAAATGTCATAGAATTATACATAGAGGTCATATAGTTGGGTTAAAAAGTTTGAAAATGTAAAAGAATTATACTAGGTCCGTCATACCTAAGTTTTTATGATAACAGTTAAAATATTTAAATATATTAGAGATACATATAAAAGAATTTTTTATAAGCATTCAAAATTAATATTTTGATAAATTTCTTACAAATAACGAACATTTGAAAATTATTTTGTAGCTCAATATTTTATAAACTGTTCAATTTGTGTAGTTAAGGATTGGAATTTAAAACAAGGCTTCACATAATCCTAAGCAGTTCATGCTGTTATCAAAATTCATACATAAAAACACATTTTTTTATTGATATATTTTTTGGACCAAACTTGGATAAAATTAGAAATAGACTAACTATATTAGTTATTTTGTTCTTCCTAGGATAAAAATATTATTCATAGGATATTGCAACATTAAATGTATAGTTTTATATTTTAAAAAACACAATGACATTTTAAAATGCAATATATTAGGGAAAAAATGTATTCAACCTACTGTATTACTTATAGTATAATTAATTACTTTTATAAGCTATATAAGACAGACTGTCTTAGCTCTGAATTGTTTGATATCCAAGATTTTATATTATGGA